ACACTAGTTCCACCGTTCCCTGCAGCGAGGCTCCCCCGTTTGACAGTTTACGTTGGCTGGGTCTGGGTGCAGGTTGCGCGGAACTGGCCATCGGGGGGCCGGTTACGAAGTGGGCGGTCGGATAAGTCACTAGCACAATCCCCCACTCCCCCGTTTGACATTTACTAGTTGTTACCGAAGTGGGCCGGGTCGAGAGCCCGGGCTGATTTTTAGTTCCCAGTCCACCACTGGCTACATGAACGTATGATCGCGCCATATTGGACGCACCTTAATTCCTAAACTTCTAACAGATAACAAAATAAACCGATCCTTCAAGCCTTCATATTGAGCTCTCAGGACACGTTCCAAATTAAACTGTCATCGCTGTCTGAGCTTTGCTGCTGTGTTGCGCCCTCGTGCGTTTTTACATGCAGATGCTGTATCCGAACGGTTGCAAGCTGGAGCGCTGTGCCCGCATTGACGTCACCCATAATTTGGCGGGGACTTTGAAGAATCCCCGAGAAGATCCAGGAAATTGTCAACATTGAAGGGCAGATTAATGGTTATCAAAGTCAAATATCCAAAAATCAGGTTCAGTAACGGTTTCTAAGGGACAATATTTACTCAAATTGATGGGTTTGGATGATGGGGGAAAATCGTGTCACAGGCTCTTTAAGTCATCTGATTAATGATCGAGTCCAAGTCAATAGGCGACATCTCTTGACTATTTTGACTACAACTCAAAGTTGCTTTTAAAACAAAACCATTTCCTCATAATGACTTTAGAAGCAATCCTAATCAGAATGAATATGGTTTCTTAGAATTAGGGGCCAGGCCCACACTACACTGGTTGGGGTCAGCTCCGTAATGCAGAAAGCAGCTCCGTCACCTTCACTTGGCCTGACAGAGCAGCACAGAAGAGTGCTGTCTGACCCAGATGATTCACACAGTCCACATCAACACCTGGTACACATAAAAAAAACAATAAGACCAGGTTTTTGTTTTAGGTCTGCATTGTCAAGTGTAAGTATTCCTGTATTGAAAGCTCTGGGGTCGAAGTGTAATGTAGAGAGTAAAGAATTTGTCTATCTTCATGATGGCAGTCTAGATACAAACCAGGGGGTATCATTACAAAGCAAAGTTACATACCCTCATTCAGCAATTTCTCCAACTTGGTCAGGTTTCTCTCCAAAGTGTATTTGTGTAGTCGAGCGTGTGCACGTCCAGTGGTAACAACCCCCACATGAACAGGACAGGGGAACGGCAGCGCAGTCATCCTGTCTCATCCGCTTCACCCTGAACACCTGAACTACAGTATGGAAGATCATTACAGTTGGAACACATACATTTTCATATGTCCTACAGAAAGTTACTGAACTTAAGTAAATGTTGAGGTACTTGATATTAACTTGAGTGTGTCCTATTATGATTTAATGTTGTACCCAACTCTACTATATCTCAGAGAGAAATGTTGTACCTCTTAGTACATGAGCTAAACTTAGGCTACTTGTTATGCAATATATCAGTGTTGTATGGATTAACTTAACCTTAGCCAGCAAATTAATCAGTAATAATAGTCATTTTATAAAATATAATACTAAATAATACAAGGATTATCAGAACATTAATGTTTATAGTATATAAACGTTATATATTCCCCCACACATAAGCGACTTTGCCTTAACTGAGGGTTCTGCTCAAATTTAATTTAATTTAAAAAGTCAGGATTTTGCCAACATTTGAGTATTGGCGGTAAAGTATAAGCTCAAAGACAACCACACAGTCCATCAGGTTATATGAAGTGTTGAATGTAACATATAATCAAAAAGTTAGCAAAACTGCTAATAGAGGCTATCTAACTTTTTTTATGTACAGTTTCTGGGGGAAAAACGAATTCACAATACCTTTAACCCATGCTCAAAGGGTATTATTTACCAAGAACTTCATAAGCAATATTGAGTAGTACAAATGAACACTTACACAGCGCTAACAGTTGTGTTTAGCTAGTAGTCTGGTACCTCCCTGCTGATTGCTCTCTTCTCTCCCGCCTTTCGGCTACTCAATGCCGGATAGACAGCGAGAGGCACCATCAGTCTATGATGTGGATAATATGTGTTCAGTCGTGGATCATGTGTGTACAGTGTGGGTTGCGGTTAATACAGAGAAAATATGTGAGTGTGCAGTCTATGGTGTTGGTCATATTTATATGTAACATGATATAGTGCATATCAATTACACCATCTCCTACCTGTGTGTCCGTTATGAATGTGCGTCAGTTAGATTAATAGGTGACAGTTGGGTCCGTGTACGTTTTGTCAGTTTGATTTTTCGTTTAATAAATGTTTCATGTAAAAACTAAACTTATTGATGAATTAAAGTGTTATCAAAGCTGGTAAAGGTGCAGCTTGTGAATTTACTCCAGGTGCAACTAAAGTCTTAATTAAGTGTTTATTATATTTCACATCATTAATCCAAATCTGCAAAAATACCCAAAGATAGGCTACTTAATAAATGTAGTGTAGTTGTAAAAGTATGATATTTACCTCTGGATTGTAGTGTAGTTGTAAAAGTACGATATTTACCTCTGGATTGTAGTGAAGTAGAATTACAAAATAGCATTACATAGAAAACTACCTAGTACCTCAAAATTGTACTCAAGTAGTACAGTTCTTGACTAAATGTACTTGTGGTCCAAAAAGGTAAAAAGAAGACTTTCCCACACTCCAGCATAGGGGGCGGTAACGAGCCTTAACGCTTGTTGTTGCTACCCGCCTTTAAACAGGACGAATACATTAGCAGTTAGCTTGACAGTCGGATTCTACAGTAGTGTTTGGTCTGCTGTGAACAAGGTCAAGTTCCATGGCGAGAAGTATGGCCACCATGGCCCCTTTCGTTAACACTGGATAAAATGTTAATAACGCTGTGCTACGTCTATCTGTGGGTGCGCTTTAACAAGTGCTATTCGGTGCTCATCCGCAACAGCCTGTGCAGACTGAACAGCAGCAGCTTCAGCTTCGGCTTCAGACTGTGCTCCAGCCCGGCCTCAGCAGCTTCTCCGACCGGAGCACACACAGCCGCACCACGGCCGCCCAGCCCGCCTCCTCCTGAGGACAACGTCTTCCTCCAGCTGGGGGACAGGGCCGTCTATGTCACGGAGCCTCAGGTTGGATACTGGAGCTAGCGCTGAATGACCTGATGTAAACAGTGTGTGGTGACTGATCCTGGGCCTGCCACAGACCCACAGTCTGTTTACATTTCTCATTTAGCACCAGAAGCAGGAAGCACTCAGATATTTTAATTCAGTAAAATACAAAATAAATATTATGATATCCATAAAAGTCCTGGAATAAAAAACTTGACTTTTACGTAAACCTATTGGCATAAAAGAATTCCCCTAATACACTCAAGTGTAGCTGTAAATTGGCCCTTCATACCTGTAGTGTATATTTTGACAGATAGTCTACAGATATATATATATATATATATATATATATATTAGTGTCAATATATAGTTTACTTTTAATTGTAATATTATATTTTATGTTAATGTTTATTTAATTGTTCTACTCTTGTTCATTTTCACATTATGTGCAATTCCTTGTTTACATGCTGCTGTCTGTGACGAAAACATTTCCCAAATTGGGATCAATAAAGTGAATCTTATCTTAAACTAAGAGGATTGATTAACTTACAAACTAAAAACAAATCAGCAGTGTTTGATTGGTAAAAACAAACAGATTTGTATACCTATAAGCCTATAATCAAAGATTTACATTAGAGGTTTATGCTCCAATCTCAGTCAGGTTTGATTAGATTATATATTTATTGATCCCACTTTTGGAAATTATTAGAAAGATAATGAAAGATGTATTTAACTAAAATAGACTGCAAATACACCTTCACTAGGCCCTACTTTACAACAAAAATATTTAAACAAAGGCTATTAAACATTATCCAAGTGTGCAAGTTGCAGTTTTTTAAATACATTTAAATTAAATTGACGCGAGGTGTTGTAGTAGGTTATTGCTGTTAGGAATGATTTCCTGTATCTGTCTTTGTGACAGTGGAGCTGAATCGATTTGTTCAGTTGAGTCGGGAGGCCTTCATTTTTGTGTGAGACTTAAACTACTTGTGTGAGACTTCACTAACTTGAAACACTGTTAATATTTTGAGCCTGTGTCTTCTTATTGAAAACGTTGCAGCTTGTTTGTCATGGTGTCACTCTAACTGCCTTATAGTTTCTTCACAACTTGATTGATGACTTTGATGACTTGTGTCACTAACTACTAACGGATGTGTAACAGCCTTGTATTGTTCTTTGTTCTCTTCTATGCTGTCTGTATTGTCCGCAGGCATGTGATGACCTTAGCAAATGGACCGTGCTGTTGGGCTCCTCTCTGGTTTGTGGTCCACGCATAGAGAATATTTCATTCATCATAGAGGCGACAGGACACAGAGTGGGCTACCATTCTCCTCACACATCCAATCAGAAAGTAGGCACCACACCTTGCTTAACATGTCATTTTCCCAAAACAATCATAAATTCAGAAAAGCTGGCTTTAAGCGATATTTTATATATATATATATATATATATATATATATAAGAGATATTTCGCCCTGATTTTCCAAACACCCAATTTGATTATTGTAAATGTTTCATTTTATTTGTTATACAAATGTTTTGTTCTTTCTATAGTTGAACTGCGTATGTAAAAAAACAGAACAGATGCTTGCAGACAAAACGTCCAACATTTTTACAGTATTTCAGAATCAACAGTAACGCAAAATGATAGCATTATCAGTGACTGTGTTAGCCAACATAGTCATTTACATTTCAAGACTTCAAAGGTTTAATGTCATATACAATGTCATGAAAAACCTGGGTCACAGGTTCCTCAACAATGCAATACAAATACATAAAAGACATAAAACAGATATTTTTACAAAATAGTGCCAGCTCTGGAGTTGAGCAGTCCAATGGCCTGTGGGATAAAACTGTCCCTGAGCCTTGTGGTCTTTGTCCTGATGCTGCAGTACTGCTTGCCGCAGCTCCACATATGAACATGGCCTCCATATTTGCATCTACAGTCGAACCTGACGAGTATGCAATTTAAAAGAGAAGACAGTTCAGGACTAGGATAATAATTAAACCTCGGAATCTAGTCCAAGACATGATCCATACCTTCACTCATACAACAGGACAGCGATCTTTCTCCTCCCTTTTTATGCAAGTGGAATATCTTTTTTTGTTTTTTTAATGCACCCCCATATCGCCTCAATTCTTTCTCTTTCTTTCCTTCTCTCTTTCTCCTTATCTGTCCGCTTTTACTGCTCGTCCACACACTGAATGAATGTTGTTTTGGTCCTGTGTTGTTTGTGTTTGCTTTGATTTACCCCTGTCACATTGCATTTTTAACAAAGGCTTAACCGCCCAAGCCTTTAGGTGGCTGCCTGCTGCTTTAATCTATGTATACATTTGTTTTTACGCCTTGATGCTGCTTTATGATTATACTACTTAGATGATTCTATTCCAATGAATATTCCAATATATATTCCAATCAATATGAGTTTAAGCTCAAAACGTGTGTGTGTGTGTGTGTGTGTGTGTGTGTGTGTGTGTGTGTGTGTGTGTGTGTGTGTGTGTGTGTGTGTGTGTGTGTGTGTGTGTGTGTGTGTGTGTGTGTGTGTGTGTGTGTGTGTGTGTGTGTGTGTAGGTGCTGAAGTGGTCTGACTACTGCCGCCCTCTGGCCTACAGCCCTGGGCAGCCCTTCAGAGCGGTGGCCCAGGCCAGCGTGGATAACTTCAGTCGTCTGGGAGTGGCTTTCATTGAAGACCGCCTTCAGCTGGACAATGGGCTTAAGCCTTCGAAGATAATCCGTATGTAGCCTCAGTTCCATTTCACATTTACCTTAATCAGAATCAGAATTCCTTTATTCGTCCCACAGAGGGGACATTTACATTGTCATAGCAAAAGTAAGGATAGAGACCAAAAAGAAAATGTGATAAAGGGAATGCCCATAATATTTAAAATGTGAAATGAACAGTTATTACAATTTACAAAGTACTCATTTGGTTAGAAAAGTAGCAGCAGCAGCAGTGTTTATTAAATAAATTAGGTGTAACATGTCGAATTTATTTTGGTAGAAGCTAGAAAATGTGGTCGAATTATATATTGCAGTTACTTACTCTTGTTAGGGTAGAGCACCTATTCGGCCCAAAACATCTATTTAAATATTATATTAGATGTACTTTATTGATCCTCAATTGGGAACTTGTTTTGTTGCAGCAGCATGTAAACAAGGCGTACACATGATTAAAAGAAACAGGAAATATAATATAATGTACAGTAATGACACAATATAAAAATATACAGTTTAAGTCAGAACACACTATAATGGACTAACCTACTACTACTACTACTACTACTACTATTACTACTAAAAGACACATTAAATATTATGCGAAGTAGTTTCAGATTTTAATGCATTGAGGTAGAGTGTGAGTACAATATGTATACCTAATTATGTATTATTTGTAGCATGTAAAGGTTGTGTAAAGTCACCATACAAGTCACCACATTTCACTGACATATCTGTAACCTTCCCACAGCTGTCCTCCTCCAAGAATCCACTCTCAGTGAACTGTTGGAGAAGCAGTGTCCAAAGACTGAGACTTTCACCCGCACTGGAGGGGGTGCTGCTGAGCGTCGTCCCCCGTCAGACCACCAGCTCCTCCAGTGCCCTAAAGGCAGCCTGCTCCTCACCCCGGAGGTGAAGAGGAGGCTGGAGGAGCGCCGAGGGTCGGAGCCGCTCAGAGGGAGCAAGGACCTGGGAGTCGTCTGTGACCAGGAGGACCGCTCCCTGGGGAATTATCTCCACATGGAGGGCCACAAACACCACCTCCATCTGTCCAGCTGCCACGAGTGTTTGGAGCTGGAGAACAGCACCATCCTCTCTGTCAAATACGCCTCAGCTGAGAACATTCCAGACCTTCCTGATGATGACTCAGGCGAGCTCGGGAGTGGAGATGAGACTTTGGATGATGTGGAGCCCGATGGAGGATTTTCTGGGCTGAGTGACTGTAAAAGCAAACCTCCAAATCTCCTGCTGTACACGGGGGGTTGCCAAAAGCGTTATGAAGCCGTGCGCCAGCTGATATCAGAGTGTATAGACATGGAAAACAACATAATATATCCCCTCCAACCGCAGCAGGCTCTGAGCGACCCCTGGCTGGAGAACACCAGGCTCCTGGTTCTGGCCGAGGAGGAAACTCTCACCCCCCAGCTTCAGACCCGTTTTCTCACCTACCTGAGCCAGGGGGGCAGGGTGTTGGGTCTGGCCTCCACCCTGTGCCCTGCAGGCCTGTCTCTGGAGGCCCGGGAGAGGCGGCAGGGGCAGGTGAGCCGGCTGATCTTCACCCGGGAGGACAGCACGGAGCTGCAGCTCAGCGTGCTGGCCAGCGAGAAGGTCTACATCAGGGACACTCAGGGAGGGGGTGAGGTGGAGCTGTGGGGGGAGCTGAAAGGAGACAGCCCCCATCAGAGGGATATGGTTGTTGTCAGGGTAACCCACGGAGGAGATGGTGGAGAAGCTGTCCTCTGTCAGGTAAGGACCAGGGGAGGGGTACTTTTAAAATGTATTGCGTTAATATAT